CTCACTCTCACTCACTCTCACTCACTCTCACTCACTCTCACTCACTCACACTCACTTACACTCACTCACACTCACTCACACTCACTCACATTCACTCACACTCCTCACACTCCTCACACTCCTCACACTCCTCACACCACTCACACTCACACTCACTCACTCACACTCAAACTCACACTCAAACTCACACTCACACTAACACTCACTCACTCACTGACACTCACTCACTCACTCACACTCACACTCACACTCGCACTCACACTGACACTCACTCACTCACTCACTCACTCATCACTCACTCACTCACTCACTGATCACTCTCACTCATTCACTCACTCACTCACTCACTCACTCACTCACACTCACACTCACACTCACACTCACACTCACACTCACACTCACACCCACACTCACTCACTCACTCACTCACTCACCCTCACTCACTCACTCACACTGTCACTCTCACTCTCACTCTCACTCTCACTCTCACTCACACTCACTCACTCACTCACTCTCACTCACTCACTCACTCTCACTCACTCACTCACTCACTCTCACTCACTCACTCGGACTCACTCACTCTCACTCACTCACTCACACTCACTCTCACACTCACTCTCACTCTCACTCTCACTCTCACTCACTCACTCACTCACTCACGCACTCTCACTCACTCACTCTCACTGAGACTGGGGAGGCCCTCTGTTGCGAGACCGGTTTTTGCTAGGGTTTTTGGACCCCAAACTGGTGTCCAGAAAAATCCTCTTTTTCCATCTCTTGAAGGAGCAAAAAGTTTGGAAAACCAATGGAATGTGATTTGAGAATTGGGGAGAAAGCGTTTGGCGTGTATGATGTTCTTGATCGAAAACAATCAAGCTTCCAGATCAATGGTCAGCTGCTTGTTTCAGCAGTCTGATTGCGGCCTTGCACGCTTGGTGCATGTTTGTTTGAGAGGGAAGAAGGGTGGGGAGACGTTGAGCGAAGGTTTGGCGCCGTGGAGTCGTGGAGCCTGTCATGTTTGCGTATGTTCATAGGCCAGTGTCAGGAGCCATCTCTGGTCGCTCAGTATGGCAAGGAATCCTTGTTTCATTCTATTTGACGTTGTTGTTTGATGCATGTTGTGAAGGATGGGCTTTTGAAAAGATATTGTTGAGGTTCGCGCTCAGGTCCTTGGTGTTTGTTGCAAGCTACGCCAGGCTGCCACCCAGGTCCCGGTTCCATTTTAAGCATCAACGTTTGAATTTTCCCTTGCAACGGGTTGGACAGCCCCACAGGGGTTGGAAAGCCTCAAATTGTTTGTAAAGGGTTGGAAAGCCCAGCACGCAGTCAGGGGTTGGACAGCCCATCAAAAAAACCTACATGAGCTCACATGAGAAACCATGAGATCACATGAGATCACATGAGAAACCATGAGAAACCATGAGCAACCATGAGCAACCGTGAGCAACCATGAGATCACATGAGCTCACATGAGAAACCATGAGATCACACGAGATCACATGAGAAACCATGAGAAACCATGATTACATGAGAAATCCCATTTTGCCAGGCTCAGGCAAAAGGTCCTAGAGTGGAGTACTCAAGTGAAGTGCTGAGATGGCAAACAAGTCCAGCAGATCTGTGGCAACCAAGAAGCCTGCCACAATGAAGAGGCCAGTTTCACACATGGGTATACTGAAGAGAAAACACCAACCAGACAAGGCAGAGACCAAGAAGAAAGCTAGGGCAGAGGAAAAGACTGCAGAAGAAAGTGAAGAAGAAAAGTTGGAAGAGGAGGAAGAAGAAGAGATAGAGGAAGCCTCCAGTGCCAAATCCTGCAAGTTGACCAAGAAGGCTTTGAGTGACCATGATACCTTCATTGCAGAAGTCATGGAAGGCAAGCCCACCTTCAAACAGTTTGAGCAGCTCTTACACAAGGCTGACAACAATATGGTCATGAGGCTTTGGAAGCACTTTGAGACCAGTCGCAAGTCCAGCAACACTGATGAAAACAAAAGGCACTGGTGGTGTCAGCAAGAAAAAAGAATTGCTCAGAGGGTGGGTCCTTGATGGGGGAAAGACCTGCAAGCATTTCAAGGAGACTTGCCAAAGCTTCAAAATGACACAGGCTGAAACTGAAGAAGGTGAGTGGCTCAGCAAGAAGCAGATCTTGGATGCCATTGGCCAGAAGAGCTGAAGGCCAGGGTGTTGGCAAAGACCATAGAAACCAGAAGGAAGAAGGAGGACCCCAGGTTTTGGGAGACATGATGTCTCACATGGCCAGCCACAGGGATGAAATGCTGGAATTTGAGCAGGAGATGGGAACTCCCTTGGAAGGTGATGATTTTGAGTTGGTTGCACCTTCATCCTCCAAGGCAGGTGTGCACCTGGATGACCACTTCCAGAACTTCCACTCACGGATCAGCAGGCCAACCAGCTTACTACCGCCATCCTCCGCGCGGCTGCTGCAGCGGCTACAAATATGCTGGGAGACAGCAAGCCCTGATGGTTTTGCACCATTCCCTAATCGTTTCACCCAGACTCACAGCCATCAAAAAAAAGCTGGGCCAATTTCTCACTCTGCCTTTCATGGGCATTTGAACATGATTCTGTATGATGTCACTTCCCATTTTAAGACATGCTCGCACCGCAGCCATTTGAACCGCCCACTCGTTTCTTTTGCTCCTCATCCTTTGTGCGCAATAGCTCGCATCAGCAGCCTGGCGAAGGCAGCGATACATCATTTTGGGCCTCGATCTGTTACACTCACGAACGACCCAATGTTCTGTGTGGAGTCATCACAAATAAACTTACATCGCTTTACCTTGCACCACCACTCCACCCACCATTTCAACAAGCCTTGCCAGATACACTACAAACCCACATTCAACTTTTCACCACCAGCATCCACCAGATTGAAATCCACTTGCGCAGGACACTCACACCCTTGAAGCCTTGGGCTTTTTTTTTCCGAGTACGGACGCCGTGTGGGCATGGTGCCCAGGTCATCGTTGAAGGGAGGGAAGAACAGTCAGATGGTGGAGAAAAGAACAAGGAAACCCAACACCACACAAAACCAACCAACACCACAACCAGGGGCCCACAGGCCGTGTCTCCACCATCATGTAGTCTTTCCTCTGTGCAAGGTGAAACATGTGAGACGAAAAAGAGTGTCTAAAAAGGGGCCTGAATTCACGAACGAAAAGCATAGCGGCGCAGGCTTGTGCTCAAGCAAAGTCGCAAAAAGGCTTCAAAGGGACCTCACTTCACCTTTATGAGTGACCAGCGGCCACACCCCGGTGCGGCAAAATCATGGTCACGATGCAATTCTCCACTCAAATACGGGGTATCGCAATGCATCAACGTCGATTGCATCCCTGGCAAGTGGGGTGGCGTAGCTGTGCAGCATGCCGTGGAAAAGACCTTTCTTGTGGCACAACCCGTTCAACCGGTTGCACTTACAAGTCAAGTGGCATGCTACCAATCAACAATCGATGAGAGGCGGCCATAATCGACGAAAGCCTGCAGGTGATGGTGCAAAGAGACCCCCCCCGAAGGGAGGTCAGTTCAGCACCGTTTGGTACTCACAGGTACCAAAGAGCAAACAGAGTGGGGTGCCTTTCAGGTTTACGAAGCGCTGCACCGTTGCAAAAGTTAATCGGCTGCATGCAAGGCCCGTGTGAAACAGGTGAAACAGGTGAAACTTTGGACAATCCTAGCATGGTATCTGTACTTCTTTGTACAAAATTGGAAATGTCGGACATCAACAAAGGGAACTAAGGTTCCCCCTGGGCATCCGCCATTGCCACTCTCTACCACCCGCCTGTTAGGAACGAAGAGCTAAGGCTCTCGCTCCTATTGGCTCACAGCAGTCCGAATGGCGAAAAGAGGTTGGTCAGTGCTTGCGCATCTTGCTTGCCGCTCTCTGCTGTCAGTCAGCTTGTCCCTCATTCCAG